TCAGGCCAGCAGGGGAGAGCAGTTAGGGGGAGCAGGCAGGCAGGCAAAGTGGTTAGGAGCAATCAGGCAGGCAGGCAGGTGAGTGGTTAGGAGCCAGTGGTCCCGATTGCAAGATGGATGTCCAACTGCAGGCTTAGGCCAGGCCCACTCCCATAAGACATCCTTTGATTTCCTTCAGATCTTATGTAGCTGTCATAGTTTTGTTAAGGAAAAAAATACACATATTTTTAAAACTATTAAACATGTTAAAGAGTGAAGAAATGGCTATTTTTTTATGTGAAAAGCACTGTATACTCAGACAAAACTTAGTTCCCAGCAGATATTATGTACAGGATTATTTTGGTGTCTTCCATAAGTTTCAGAGCAACACCATTGGTTCTAGGTCTGACAAGATCAGGTGTGTAATATTACATTAGCTACCTTAAGTATAAGTTATATTCTATATAACTATGATAAATAGATATTTTATGAAATGATTAAAATAAAGCAAACTTTTTACATAAGCAAATTTTACAGAGAGAATATACAGATTCTGGAAATTCATCAAATGTATCACAATCAAATAATAACAGCAGCATTTAACATGAAACAAGGTAAAGCAGGAATCCTATTTGAATGAATATTCCAACTGCACTCAATGTTTTGTAAGTCCAAGCTTTAAATCCACTTTGCTTTATTATAGCGTCTTTGGAGAGTTTCCCTACTTTGAGCCCTGCAACAACTTCAGGTCAGTACTATGACATTTTAAAAACGAACTTGGTGACCATCAAACTCCATGACATTACAGAAGGATTCCTTTTTTAGTAGCTGTTTCTGAGACTCTTAGTCTTTATATTAAAATGTAAGAAGCAGACATTTGGTAAGAAATAATGTAGTTCATAATAGGCAGGTTTCCTAACGCCCAGTTACATCTGCCCAGGATATGCACTTCCAATTCCATATTTTACACTCTATATACATAGGTATGCATGCATGAGTGTGAGTGAGAGTGTGAGTCACTGAGAATGTCTCTTTACCTCTCTGAAAATCTGTTTCTCATAAATCATGAATGACATAATTTTTCTGAATATTTCAGAAGTCATCCCAAATATCAAATTTATATATGTGATTTTTAAAGTGAAAAGTGTGTGTGTGACCCAAAAATAAAGCTCTGATCCTACAGTCTTAGAGATGAAACCATAACATTTATGAGGTCATTAGGAATGAGGGAAAGAAGGTTTCAAAATGAATTGCACAGCTTGGAAAGAAGATTGTAAGTTTGAATGTTAACTTTGCTCTATTCCAATATTTTCTTCACTCCCTCTTTCTAACTACAATTGATCACTACTGCTCTTTAAAAGTAGAACTTTGTTTTATCAAGATCACACCACTATCAATATTTTTAGAATTAACTCAGTTATCTTAAAATGTAAAATTATTCTTCTATAGAAAAATCACTTAAATTGAAGTCATAGCTATGAATATTAATCTTGACTCTGCCAACTCTTTGCTTCTCTAAAAATCTATTTCTCATAAATTGTAACTAATACAATCTTTCTGAATATTTCAGAAGTAATCCCAAATATCAAATTTATGTATAAATGATTTTTAAAGCAAAACTTGTTATCCTATATAATAAAAGGGTGATATGCAAATTGACCCTAACACAGAACAACTGGGAATGACTGGTCACTATGACACACACTGATCACCAGGGAGCAGACGCTCAGTGCAGGAGTTGCCCCCTGGTGGTGAGTGTGCTCCCACAAGGGGAGCTCTGCTCAGCCACAAGCCAGGCTGGCAGCTGCCAGCACAGCGGTGGTGGCGGGAGCCTCTCCCACCTCCTCAGCAGCACTAAGGATGTCTGACTGCAGCTTAGGCCTGCTCCCCGCTGGCAAGTGGACATCCCTGAGGGTTCCTGGGCTGCCAGAGGGATGTCTTACTGCCAGCTTAGGCCCGATCCCCCCGGGAGCAGGCCTAAGCCAGCAGGTGGACATCCCCTGAGGGGTCCCAGACTGCGAGAGGGCACAGGCCGGGCTGAGAGATCCCTTCCCCCAGTGCACAAATTTTTGTGCACCGGGCCTCTAGTAGAACCATAAAGACACCAATACTATTGGTATTCTCTATACTCATGACCATTTTTATAATATTTGAAAGCCTCTTTCTTAAAAATATTTATTTGGGCCAGGTACTATATTTTACAAACATTATTTCATTTAGTTCTCAAAATGATCCTGTACAGAGGTAATAATTTTTTCATTTAAAAAGAGTCATACAGCTATTTAGTGTCAAACTCAGGAATTGAAAGCAAGTCCCCAAAGCCTATGGTCTAAGCATAACCCAAGCTTCTATTTAAATAACATCAGATTAACCTAGAACATTTAAGTCTACAGCCAGTACAAAATTAATGAATCCCCTATTTAGCTATTATTAATAACTTTAAAACATCATCTTTTATACTCAAAACATCAAAGATGGCCCAGCCAGCATGGCTTGGTGGTTGAGCATCAATTTATGAACCAGGGGGTTGAGGTTCAATTCCTAGTAGGGGCACATGCCTGGGTTGCGGACTTGATCCCCAGTATGGGATGTGCAGGAGGCAGTCAATCAATGAGTCTCTCATTATTGATATTCTTATTTCTCTCTCCTTCCTCTCCCTTCCTCTCTAAAATCAATAAAAATACATTTTTTTAAAAAAATAGATAGATGACTTGAAAAAT